TGCATAATACAAATCATATTTAAATTGAAACCTGCATAAATTAGAGGCAGTATAACAAATGCTAACATAACTTTATAAATACTTAATAAAAATAATAAATTATTTTTGCATTACAATAATGAGAATGTGGTGGAAAATATTTTTAAATGTCATTTAATTAATGTTACATTGCAAAAATTCTTAATGATACAAAAAAATCGAATTTTATTTTTGCAAAATATAATTTTAAATATAATTTAATGGAAAATGACCTGGAAGAATTTCTTGACAAACTGTGTGAGATTCACTCTTTTACAAGAGTTTTTTTTTTTTTTTTTCATTTTCAAAATTACATTTTCTTGGGAAGTATTTTTCTTGGATATTATATTTTATACCTTGGTTATTTGTTTTAGTCCTTACGTCATTGGAACCACCAATCAGTCTGTTAAGATGCCATCCAATCATGGCCTGCATCTCAGCTTCAGGTAAGTTCCTCATTCCTTTAGCACTGTTTCATTCAAGTTTGTAGATTCTGGTAAGACAACATAAAATCTGCAAAAAAAAATTTGAAATCCCATATCAGTATTCTAACCATTTGTAATTATCTGTTTGCCTGAAGAATGGTCACCTTCTCCAACAACGTGGAGCCTGCAAATGGTTTCCTAGTGCGTTACTTGCACAGGAAGTTGATCGAAACGGAGGATGAAAGCACAGTTCACAGCGCTGAGGTGCTGAGGGTTCTGGACTGGGTGCCTAAACTCTGGTACCATCTCCATACCTTCCTGGAGAAACACAGCACCTCTGACTTCCTCATAGGTACAGCTTTACACATTCTGAATGTCTGTTTTATACAGTGCTCTTCAGAAAAAAAAGAAAAACATATTTAACCATTTATATTAGCAAATTAATCCGAGCAACCTTTCAAAGGTTAGGTTATATCCTACAGCAACTTAAGTTTTGGCTCCTCTCTTTGCAGGTCCCTGCTTCTTCTTGTCTTGCCCAGTATCATTAGCGGAGTTTCGCTCCTGGTTTATTGATCTCTGGAACCAGTCCATTATTCCTTATCTTCAGGAGGGAGCTAAGGATGGTGTGAAGGTAAGCTGCTCATAGGCATCTGACAACAGAAGAAGGGATGTCTAACCCTGCTCATGGATGGCCACCATCCAGCAGAGTTCAGCTCCAACACTAACTAAACGCTTCAAGCTCTTCTGGATTACTAGAAACTGTAGGTGTTTTGGAGCTAGATTATGCAGTAAGATGGTCAGTGTTAATTTTGACAGGCATTTTTGATTTAGTCTTAGTCT